TTTTATTGCGTAAGGAATATATATATATATATATATATATACATGTTTATTGTATATTATAACCGTTAAACTATTATAAAATAGTTGTGACATTGAGACGGATGTACGCATGAATGATGAAAACGACAACTACTTCCTGTATTTTCTTAAGAACCTTCTATTGTGACACGTTGTAGAACCCTTCTTTGGGTTTACATTATTTAAGCAAATTCACTCTGCCTTTCGGGAATCAACATAAGCGGGGGAGGGGTCACTAATGCAGAAAACAGACAAATCGAAGGAATCAACCGCGATGAAGCGCGACGGGAAATACCACGACTGTGAGAGCTATGGCCACACCACTAAGCTACCGGATTACAAAAAGGATATCAGCATCCCGCGCACATTGGATGGATACTACGCGAAGGCGGGCTCCTGTCCCTGCCCTGCGCGTGCGTCAAAGGGCGAATCCGTCGATCCTCACATAGCGTATCGTGAGGCCGGCGGCCCTCACACGGTGCACGCAGAGGATATTAGCCCTGGCATGGAGGGCTTTCCAAACCATCGCAACTACGGCGGCACGGTCGCGAAGCGCGGGGGGGCGGACCTGACGACCACCGCGCTGCCTCTGCGGGCGACAAAGTTGCAGCAGCGTTCGGAGCTGCGGCAGCGAACGATGCACGATCGGAAGAACTTTCTAAAGGCGGTGCTGCACGACGAGATGCTGGCGCGGATGGATGCGGAAGGGCAGCGCGACGTGCTCGAGCGGGAGATCGGGTTGATGGGGCCAAACCACGTCGAGGAATATGAACGTCTCAACGGCGAAGGAACCCTTTCAGGGCGACGACCTCGGAAGGGCATGATGGAGCGCGACATTAACGAGGTGCCCACCGTCGGGGAGCAATATGAAGAAGTGATGGACGAGCTGAGGTATGTCGCTGGCCAACCTGTCAACTCGAAGCGAAACATCATTTGGTTTCATTACCTTTTAGAAGAAGAGAACCGCATCAATGCACTGCGTCGACAGCAAAAGACAAACACATGGCAAGCTAAATGCTAAATGTAGCGCCCCACATTCTACGAATGCATCTCATTCACATGCCATGGCCACCATTGTGGCCGCATCAGTTACCATTATTCGAGGCAACGGTTCGCATTTACGATGTAAAATAAGAAAAATAGTTTCTTGAATTGATGTCTTATTACGGCATTTTCAGTACGTCTGGGTTGATTTTATAAAAGGAAAGGTGTAAAAAAGATCAATCAAATGTCGTCCGTTATGTGAAATTTTACTGTTGCGTTTACTCATAATCAAACAAACACTAAGAGGAAAATAAATTAACATCCCCTTGGTCCCGACTGTGAAATGCTATGAATGCCTCCTCTCTCAAGGGGAAGGGGAGGGGGTCTTATGGCGAATGTAAAAATCATTTCCTTCCCCTTATCATATGGAGCTAGATAACGCAGAATACCACGCTATTAGTAATGACATCCACTCGCTCCGACAAAAAAGCCACAAACGACACCCTCCCGCCGCTGTCCTCGGCTCCTCCGCAGTCGACGACGACGAAGCGGTATCACCGCTGCGGCTGCTACCGCCACGACTGCGGGTTGCCAGAGTACAAACTCCTCGCGATGCCGCGGACGAACAATTTTTATGCCGCTGTGGGCGGCTGCCCTTGCATCCCGCGCACACCCGCTCATCCAGGGAGTTGGCGGCTGAAAGCAGCGCAGCTGCGGTCCGCCACCCACGGCGGCGGAAGCTGCATCTGCAAGAATCCCTCGGCCGCCTCGAACATCCGCTGCTGCTTTCATTCCGGCGCCGCGTATGGCTGGAAGCCGGGGCCGCACCCCGTGCACGCGAAAAACACCGCCGCCTGTGGGAAGTGCGATACGTTCGGCAACCTCGCATTCAAATCCAAACGCCTCGCACGGCTCGCTGGCTGTGAGGAAGACGGGAGTGATCTCAGCAGCGTCTCGCCGCAGAAGTTGGAAGATTTGGAGACGTTGGTGCTCGAGGAGCACGGCGCGCGGGTTCTGGTGGAGAGCGATATCAAAAAGCTCCGTGAGATGCAAGAGTCGGGTTCGCAAAAGACCTACATGCAGGCGCTCGCGGATGAAGAACGTCGTCGTCGTCTCGCGGAGGCGACGGAAGGGCAGTTAAATGAGTTACTGAATGATATCCGTGGAATTGTGGAGCGACCGCTTAACCAGACGAATATGGATATCCTCCACCGTATTATCGCACGACAAGAGCAGGCGCAGCGAAATCGGGATTATATTGCATCGCAAAGCTGAATAATTCTGATTTTTCGTCTTTTTAAGGTGCCGATGTCAATTCGCTTATTTGGTGTGTGTTTTTCCTCTTCTCTTTGACTATCGTTTAGTTCCATTGTGAGCATTTATTCCCTTAGTTGCTTCAGGTTTCAAAAATGTAGAATTCAACATGTATGCAATGTTTTTAAATGAATCTGTTATGTAATTCATTTTTGTCTTTAATGTTCATTTCTTGCACATATACATACACGCATGACTACCTATATCTTTGTATCTATGTATAGATACAATACTGGTTCAATGTACTATGTTATAATTATGTATTTTGTCTAGATATTTATGAGGGACTGCTAATTTATCACAATCTTTTGGTTGATGGATAATGAGCGTCCCCCAAGCCCCGTCCCTCTCCTTTACAAATGCTAAAATAGAATATCAAATGATGCAGGAGTAGCACTGCGTTTTTCATCACGGGGTGGCAATGATTAGAATATTTCTGTTGTTCAAAAAAAAAATCACTCCTGAAGGGTATCAAAGTATAAATAGGCAAGGGGGAAACATCCCAACCATCAATAGATCATAGATATACGCGGTCGCGTCGCTCCTGAAATCGGAAAGTATTAATGATAAAAAGTTACTTTGATATTGGGTTGATAAGCGCTAATGAGGAATTGGTACCGGTTACCTTCAGCGTTCCTTCCTTTACGCTCGCGAAGGATGTGATCGTGCGAAACGCCGAGGGCGAGCGCAGCGCGGCGGTAGCGGCTGGCGATACCGCCGTACTGCCGCTCTGGGTGGCCTACCCACTTCGCCAGCAGGGTTTTATTTCGGTGCAATTGGGGAATAAATACTCTCTAAGTACGTTTCGAGAGTTTAAAACGGATCCCCTGGCGCCGAGCTTAGCGGCGAAGTCTCCGTATTTCTACGAGTCTGGCTTGACGCTTTGCGCGCTGCTGGGGAATCCGACCTCAAATGGCGGTATGAGCGCGGAAGGAACCCGTCTGGCTGCGCAGCTGTTTCGACTATATCAGCTTCGCTACCTAAAAGTCATTCTTGCCGCCGCCAAGAAGGGATTTGATTTGAACGATGTGCGGGAGAAGCTTACGGAGAGTGAACGGGTGCTTCTCGATTCTTATCTTAAAGGGCGTTTGGAGGAACTTATGTGGTATGCAAGTGCAGTGTGAGGAAGTGCCTAGATCATCCGTATAGGGCACTTGCAAAATGCAGACCAAGGATGGCTTATAGGTATGGAAACACGCAAATACGGTTTCCCACAGAATGGTTCCTTCATGATGATTCTGCTTATTTAATCTGGCTATGCTTTTTTATTTGTCTGTTTGTTAACTAGTACTGATATTACCATTATTTCCTCCCCCCCCTTTTTTTAGGACTTCAGAAGATCGAAAACCAATCAAGTAAATTTGTCGGGCGGTGTGACCTCTCTTGACATTACTAGTGGAAGCATACATTTCATCTCTTGCCTCCCAATAGCGATGAGCGCGAGCGCCTCAGCGAGCAACCCCACCAAGCGGGATGATGGTAGCATGACGAATACCTCCACTGTTCTTCTGTATCCATTTAAATCGATGAGCCTTGGATGGTGGGATAGTTTCCTTTCCACGGTGGCTCCACTCAATCGCGTTTCAGTGCTCGTGCATATGATGCGTTCCATGATGACGCACGCGGTGCTGCACGAGGATCCGTTTTTAGAGGAGGCGATTATCCACATGGGGAAGGGGCTCCCCCAGGCGTGGCCGCCGCCGAGCGGGCAGGAGGATAGTAACTATATCCCCACGTTTGAGGCTGGGTATCATATTTTTCAAACCATCTGTGTTATTTCCAAGTTCCGAACACTGGATAGGCAAGCCAAGCACGGGCTCTTATCGATGGCAGAGCAGCGGATTCAGGTGATCGTGAAGGGAACGCAGAATCAGGAGGATAAAATGAGCTTTTGGGCGGCCGCGCAGGTCGCGTCGGATCGCATTCAGGCGCTTCAGAGGGAACTTGACTCGCGCATCGCATGGAATAAGTTAATGCACGCGATGAAAGTGCTCTTTTTTTCTGTAAACATGCGAAACGGTAAGCTTCCCAGCCTCGATCCGGAGGCGAATCCTTTGGATAACTTCGCTTGCTACGAGGGGTGCCCGTGCTATGGGAAGCTCCGCAACACCTACACCCTTTTTGTTCGTGGGATGGAAAAAATCAAAATCATCGACTGCGCGATGATCGCCTCGGTGAAAGACGAGGACGTTTTATTACGCGAGGTGGCCACGGAGCTTTTGTATCGCTATCGTGATCACATCTCGGATAACCCCCCGTCGAACGACGTGGTGCGGCAAATTCAAAATGGAACCTTTTTTTACTGCCGGGTTGCTCTTTTCCGGGCACTAAGCTACCTGCAGGATCTCTCCGAGCTCCACACCGACTCCGTAACGGCCGCGAAGGAGTTCACCTGCTATCTTCACCGTTTTATCCTCTCGATGCATTGGGTGAAGAATGAGATCCGTCGCCTGCGCGGGGTGAAGGATCTCGTGCCGATGCTCAACCGCGCGATCACCACCGCCGATAACACCTTTCGGCGGGTGAACGAGAGCGGGTTTAAGCACGTACTGCACACCCTCAAAGGCTACACGAACGCCTGCTTCGTTACGCTCGCCGCGTCGAAGTATCATTTTGCCGTGCACTCGCGCGATATCTTCGTCGGCAGGCCGGAGGATATGCGTTGCGCGAATCCGGGGTGTCCACGAACGGCAAGGAATCTCCTAAAATGCAGCGGATGCGATGTAACGTATTACTGCTCCGCGGACTGTCAAAAGGCGGATTGGGAGAAGCATAAGGGATTTTGCCATGAGATCGAATCCCGCCGTGGGAAGCCGGAACCGGTGCCGCATGTGATAAGTGAAATGCACTGTATTAAACCTAAAGTTTGAACAGATATTCATTTGTATATTTATATATAAATATTAATGCGCATGCATTGCACTTTCAATAAGAACCTCTTTGGTCGTAAATGATAATAATAAAAACAATATGGGCGATATATTCAAAAGCATGACGTTTGGGTTCGGCTTTTATTTGTTTTGTTTTTCTCCTCTTCCAGCCTTTCTCTACACATTCCACAGAGGACCTTTTTTTATCGTGAGGTGTGAATTGTTACCTCGTCATATTATCAGGCTTCCTATGGGTTTCTGACGTGTGGTAGCACACGGGGTGTAGGATCGGGCCGAGGTGTCCCTTAGCAAGTATTCATTCAAGGCTTGGGCACTTTTTCAGGGTGGATAAAATCAAACATGGCGGAGCAAATAAGCGTCATGACAACGGTTTGGTTACGATCCCCCCTCCTCCTCGAGGCATATATTTCTCATTCAGGCAGCCAAAAGGCACCTACTGAAGCGCAATTTGCACGTATTTAAAAAAAAAATTGCTATCATTGCTATATCAAAATTGAAATGCAATTAAATACCTATAATTAGGTCATACTCACATCCATTTACCTATTTGATTAATGAGGGAAGAAAAAATGCCCATTATCGTTTTCTTTCCTTAATAATTTCTGCACTTCAGTATCTAACATTTTTAAACCCGCTTATAAATAAAACACAACTATGTTCTCCATGGTTGGTCTTGGTCTTGGTGATGCTTCAGACATCACCTTGAAGGGCCTAGAAACCGTCAAGCGGGCTGATATTGTCTTTCTTGAGGCCTACACCTCCTTTCTCATCAATAGCAACGCCGAAAAGCTTAGCGAGCTGTATGGACGTCAAGTCTTGGTCGCAGATCGCGAGATGGTTGAAAGTGGTGAGGTGTTGGAGGAGGCGAACCGTAAGAAGGTTGTTTTGCTTGTGGTAGGGGATGTTTTTGGCGCCACCACGCACTCCGATTTGGTAGTTCGCTGCAAGGAGAAGGCAATTCCGTGCAATGTGGTGCACAACGCCTCCATAATAAACGCGGTTGGGTGTTGTGGATTACAACTTTATCGATTTGGACAGGTTCTTTCGCTTTGCTTTTGGACGGAGACGTGGCGGCCGGACTCGTGGTATGAGCGCCTCAAGAGTAATCGAGAAAGTGGACTTCATACCCTGCTTCTTCTTGATATCAAAGTTAAAGAGATGTCAGATGAGGACCTCGCGCGTGGCCGGAAAGTCTACCAACCACCTCGCTACATGACTATTAAACAGGCAATCGAGCAGGTTTTGGAGGTGGAGCAGAAGAAGAATGGAGGTGCTATAGCGGCAGATGGGAGCACCTTTGCCGTCGGCCTCGCTCGCATAGGTTCCTCCAGCCAGCAGGTGGTTGCCGGCACTATGAAAGAGCTTCTGGAGATTGATTTTGGCGCTCCTTTGCACTCGTTGGTTATTGCCGGGGATATTCATGACTGCGAATCGGAGCATGTGAACCTTTTCCGTATAAATAATAGCAACTAAATAAGGCATCAAAGGAGCATAATCTTTCTAATTGGTGATCAGCAAAGCTATCAAAATGGGAAGGTTACCATTTCAATAGCATAGTCTGCTGTAAGGTGGTAAATTTGATCCAAAATGAGGCTATTTGCGTGGTATTTTTTTTTTGCTTTCGTGAAAACCACTTGTGCAACCACCTCTCTATCACATTGATTCAGTTCTAATGAATGATATTAAGCCTTTTTCATCTCTTTGGTATTCTGAATTAACAAGCGTTCCGTTGTATCAGCCGCTCCTTGGATGCTGAGATTTCAAATCTTAATCAGCACTGCCTCTAATATTAATGTAATTCACCGATACAAGCGAGTTTGTTCGTTTAAAACGGTCGCTAATTACCTTTGGATGAGAATTAGTGATGGAAGTGCTTTAGTGTGTAAATTTTATCTCATGAACCGAAGGTGGAGAAATATAAGAACTGCTGTAGAGGTTTGGTCTACCCAAGGTGTTGGAATAATTTCAACAGGCTCCATTTAGCATGGACTCGGTGCACTTTCATACGTCTATAGGTGCATAACAGAGGTTGACGGTTATAAAGATTTGCAAGGATCATTTATTAATTCCAGTCGTTTCTGCAGCGGACTTGCGATGCAGTTAATGAGGCAACCTTTCGAAGGTGCTGGATATCCTAAAATAACTTGTGAAAGAGAAGTTATTATTATTCCATAAAAATGTTTGTACGTAGAGAAGCTTATGAAGCTATCACTAACGACAAAGCTTACTGAGATTTGAGTGAAGTACGAATATTTACGTAGCTATTGAACTATTGAGTTTGCCTCGCGTGTTGACCATTTCTAGGTTTTCTGCATTATCATCAATTATTTGTATAAGTTATACTGAATTGCGTATGTAGAATCAGCAAAGTTCATCATGCTGAAGTATTCTGGCACCCCAATCTTAGCGTTTTGCGTATCGCCAGCTAGATTCAATTTCTTCCCATTAGGCTACACATCTGGACCAAAAAATCGGCAAATTCTTCTGCCTCCGAATAACTTTGATGGACGAGCAACGAACAGCATGCAAAAACTCAAGAGTTCCTCCCCTAACACCACAACTATGGTATCTCGAGATAAGTTAAAGCTTCATTGTGAGCACTGCCGTTTTTTTTGGATCCATGACACCCTCGTCGTGAAGTGTCCGGCGTACCCTAATGAGCATAACCAACGTGAGATCTGGCTCCAGCCGACGTGGACGTGGGGAAAGCAGCAGCCCTATCAATACTATAAATACCTTCCACTTACCGTAAATCCACGAACACACATGCCTCTTGCCAGAGAGGACGCGAAGTCCATGAATAATGAACGTCGAGCGCAAGGGTTGACAACGCGAACACGTCTTTTGCAGAAGGAGAGGCGAGGGATCTCACGCCAAATTACCGGCTTGGGTATTTACAGCCAACGCTGGCAAACCCGATTTCCCTTCCCTTCGTAATGTTCATTTATGGGTTACTCTTTCTGGGGGGGGGGGGGGGCAGTTATAGAAGGGTACATGTCAATGAATACTCGATATTAGTAGTTGCTGTCTCACTTCTATTATTGTGAATGTCTCCTGCAGCACCCTTAAAACAAAAAAAAGAGCATGGGGAGGGATCTTTCGGAAAGCAAATCCCCAGTCTTCTTCATTGACATAGGCGTTGATACATCCTTTTTCTTTGTATAGATAAGCTTTTCTGGAATTGTATTAACAATCTGAAAATCTTGAGCGCTCTCTTTTCTCCTATTCTCTATTACAGAAACTGAAACATTTACGTGTAAAAATGAGCTTGTTTAAGGTTAGCTGCCCGGCCAACTTAATATGGCATCCGACCGTCCACCACAGTCTGCTGCTGTTGCGCGCCTTGAGGCAACCTCACACGTTGCTTCTTTCTGAGGTTGCATCACCGGTAATCAATCCGTTATCATTCCCTTTGCTCTTCCAGCAAACAATGCACATCAACATCTCCCGCGCTCGGGAAGATGAATCGCAGCTCGATGGCAAGGCGTGCTGTTTTTATCAACCCGAGCATATACTGAGCTTTGTTTTCTCATCCGCCGAGGTGAAGGAAGGGGGTGAGATGCGAGATAAAGTTCGAGCAGAGCTTCCAACGTACTTGGATACTGCGGTCGTTGCTTCGCACATTCTGAATGCCGTCGATGCGGTGTTGGTAGCACTTTCCGCGAATGCGATGGAGACGACGCGGCAACTTCATTCCGTTGTTATGGATCTGATGGAGCAGTTAGAGGCTACGATTGACGATAACAACGCGAAGGAAGAGCATGTGGGCGAGCAAGACGAACCACTCAGTACGTGGCCGCTGTACACGGCTTTGCAATTCCTCATCGAGCAGGGAGGGCTTTTGACGTCCGCCTTCCCACGTATCCATCAGGCATACGAATTTCTAAACCAAAAGAACACGTGCATTCGACAACATCGACGCTTTATGGAGCGCACCATTAAGGAATTTCGAATCAATGGGGAAAAAAGTGATTTGGATAGCTTGGAAGAAACGTACCCTCAACGAGGCTTTCTGATAGAGGTTCAGCGACGTCTTAATGATTATACGACAAGCACGTCAGAGAGGATGAGCATGGATGTGGTTGGAGATAAAGGTGCGCTTCCGAGCCGAACGCAAGGTGGTCGTTTAGGGATTCAGGCCGTTCCTGCACGGCTGCCATGGACGATGCAACGAACGAATCTCACACAGCGATAGGAAATGCACACGCAAGGATCTGAAGGATTTCTTCTTTTGTGTTGTTACCTTGTTTTGTATCGGAAGGAGGCATATATCTTTCACTCGTGATCACTCTAAATGGCAGCAGAATTAACGCTCAAATCCGAATTTTCAAATTCACTCTTCTATTGGCGTGAGGGATTCAGGTTGATCTCAGGGCAATCTATTTCGCTCCTCGTCAACTACGCGATTAACCAAATTGCACTCATCCGCAACCCCATTAGTCGCTGATCCCTAGGCTAAATTCTTTTTTGTTTCGCCATCTACATGTGTACGTACTAATAAGTGAGGAAGGGTGGCTTGTGTCTTATTGTAATCCATTTATTTACGATTTTTTGTCTTTTTTTCGCCTTTCACCACTCTAAAGGACAGATTTCGCATTACTTGAATTTGGTTGAGCCCCGTCAGCGGCGACTCAACGAAAAAAAAAATAGAATCATCGTAGCATCAAAGGGCGCGACAAAGATGAGCCGGAATGGGGAACTGTGCTTGAAGAAAATCATCGTATCGTACAGCCCGAGCCATGGGGATCCCGCCGTCCGGCAGTTCTTCGCCACCTACCTCCCCGCCTTCCATCAAAAGTATCCCCAGGTGACGATTGACATCCGCCCGCGGTTTTGGCCGGAAACGAGCATCACCGGCGTCTACCGCGATGGCAGCGAAAAGGCGTATCGAATCCGCCAGCTCAGCTCGATGGGGATTCACATCCGCTTTCATCGCCTGGTGAACGAGGCGAACGACTCCAACCTGCCGTTCGGGCCGAAACACCTGCATTTTCACCGGCGAAGCGTCCAAGGGGCGTGGAATCCGTGGCTATGGGGGTATGAAAGCACGCGGGTGCGCGGAAAGGCCCCGCCACCGCGGTGGGATCGCCAACTCACGCCGGAGGAGTGGGAATATCATATCACGCAGTACGCCGCGCAGGTGGGGGCGGAGGAAGAGGCGATCGACGCCCGCGTACGGCGGCATAGCGAGATCCCCGACGCGAGCACCACGGAGGTGCGGCGGCGATGGAAGCAGCACGTGCTGCCGCAGATGCAATCGGATATGGAGTTTAACCTCGATCACTGGAAACGACAGCAGGCAAAGGGAAAGGCGGGGCCGGAGGCGGCGAAGATGCACGAGTATAGCCTCTTTTCCGTTCCCGATCACACTACGCTTGGGCAGGATGCTGTCGATACGCTACGACGCCGGGAGGCGAAACAGCTGGAGGATTGGTGGCGGCAGCGAAAGGAACAATTAAAGCCACCGCGATGAGAACTATCTTGCTTCCTGTGATGAGGAGAGGAAGAGAGGAGAGGGTTGTTATAATTCAAAAGCTATTGTCTTTTGTTCTCCTTGAGGAGTGGAATGGATGTATATGGATATATTATACATGCTTAGATGCCAAAAGATCCTACACCCACGACCATCTTTACCTTTCAATCCTCTCATTCTTTCTGATATTGGAAGCATACTGCTCATTAAGTGTGCGTAACGCAGTATTGCATTACCACATAGCTGTCTGTTGCGTTAATAGTATCTTCGAGCATCCTTTAGCTGGTTCACTTTTTTTCGATAAACACTTCGAAGAAGTCAGAATGAGTAGGGACCCTGAAAATCCGAGGGCTCGAGCGGTCATGGAGTCTTTTGAGAATGAAAATATACACAGAAACTCAAAAGAGATGCAAAGTGAGAACAGAGATTACAATCGCATCAAGCGCACACATTCCATGCCCAATACGGAGAAGTCGCATGAGATGTCCAAAGAGGACTTCGCGCAGGATGTCTCTTCGAGCCCCCCCAGCGTCTTAATATCCTTGGTTCCGAGTGAAAATCACTCCTTAGAGATGGAGGATTCTCAAACGATGCCATTACTCACTGGAATGACGACGAGTCGAACGACCATCGACCCGCACGGCAGCGATGATGAGAACTGCTTGGTGAGTTGTCAATCCAAGTCCACGGCCCTGCCGTTCGCGCGGGATGCTCCGTGTGGGGTGGATTCCTTCGACGCTGCGATCCAATCGATGCATGCGCTTCGAAATGAAGTGAAAATGCGCCCCCGTACGCCCTCCGCACCGCGAGCACCCCAATCCTCCCCCCGGCTTCACGTCCTTAAAGTTCCCATTCAAAGCGCGCGTGAGGATCGCGGCGATCCCAAGGGGCCGATAGAAAGAGGCGAAGGGGGCAGAGCGGACCCCATCACCTCGGATTCCCCACTTCCTTCCGGCGTGAATCCGCGCGAAGAACCCCTCGCACGGGGCGACCACCACCACCATCCCGATCACCGCCTCGATAACGAGG